TGACCATGACAATCATGGTTTTTTTACCCTGGGTGATAGTAATTCTCCTGAAAAATTGAATTTTAAATAGATACAGCGTGTTTTGAAAATTCTTAAAATGTATGTGGTGGCAAAAGAAATTTATTACTAAGCCATTATGAGAGCGCACATTATTTTGAATGCCAATTTTATATGTAACTAAGATTAATTTTACTTACCGTTTTAAACTGTTCTATTTTAGAAACTTAAGCCCTATGAAATGAATAACAAGCAGGCCCGCCCTTCCGCCAAACGAACTTGCCAGCTCCGCTTCGCTCCGCCGGCAACTCCGTTCGGCAGGGGCCGGGCCTGCTTGGCCTGCCGGCGGCGATGGTCGGGCCTGCGGCCCGACCATTTCTGTCACGCGAATTTCTGAAGAACATGATCGAATGATGTAGCGGGCCTTTGGCCCGCTTAAACCCGTCATCTTTGAGTTTGCCCCAAAGACTTGAGAAAGGGATGTAGCGGTGAAGCACCGCGACTACAACCCACCCTTCTGCCTAAAAAACGTTTTTAGGGGTGGGGGAAAGTTCCTCTCTATTTTGCGGTTTTTAGGCCTTTTTCTACATCTTATTTACTATGGCAATTTTTAGCTTATTTTCGTCTAAAAAACCTTTTAGCGCGTAAACGGTTAGAGATAGCGCAAAACGGACGAAATTTTCGCCCGTAGGGCTCTACTTTCACAAGTTACCCCTCAGGGGATAAACGTAGGAGTACGTGCAGCAGCCCGTAGTGGCTGAGCTTAAGTCGTTAGTGTGCTAAAATTCTCAAATGTAACGGTTAAAGGAATATAGTAATAGTTATGTACAGATGGAAGGCCAGGGAAGAACAGGAAAGGGGGGGGGGGCACTGGAAAATTTAAAAATGACCAAAACAAGTTTGGTTTTAGATTTTCTGATGACATTATTAGTACTCAGTAATTGGAAGTGGGAGTGTGATGACTTTTGACTAATACAAATGAATGCTGTTAGCAAATTCAACCTACAATGTAACAAACAGTAGGACAAACAAATATCGTATAACTCTGGGTATGGCAAACCCTTGTCACAATCAGCTAGAGAAATTCTATTCAATACCCTCACTTGCCTCTGCGTGAAGTGAAATTA